TACCGAGAATATACGTGTTTTCGTGTCTTTTGAGCCGAAAACTTACTTATTTTTTATATTATTTTTAAAAAGAAGCTTCTATTACCAAAATAAATTCCTCGTATCTTTAAACACCAGGCAATAAAGCTTTCTCATTCTGATTGTGATTCTCAGAGTTGGAGCTCGTATAACGTTATGCGTTTTGTTCACAATGAGAGCAATGTCTTTTTGTCTTACGCGGCGTTTTGATTCGCTTATTTAGCCGGGTTTTTTTACTCCTAAAATAAAGAGAAAATAATATAGTAGTGGTAAGTAAAATTCGCTGGACAGCAGAGGGGAAAAAGTATAATTATAATTGCTCTCTTTTCTCCAAATTCTCTCAATGGGTCAATAAGGATTTTAAAAATGACACCCTGATATTTGAGATCGATTAGTTTTCTTGAAAAGAATATGAGTAACAAAAAGAGCGGGAATTAAAACAAAAGAAGCTTAGTCATGTGGGCTGATGTCGTTCAAACATGGAGCGATGGGCGGAGCTATCATTTCACCGCCTGTGATTGGCCCTCACTCCGCTAGTGGTACTAGGTGTTGTCCAATCACAGTCGAGTTTATGGGTTTGGTCTGTGGAAACACGCAATCAGAAGGTTACACATCTCTGTGTAAATTAGCATAGGCTAGTGAATATAAACGGCTCTGTCCGGTTCTTTCTAATCTTTGACTCATCAGCATCATCATGCCTGAACCAGCGAAGTCTGCTTCTAAGAAAGGCTCCAAGAAGGCTGTCACTAAGACCGCCGCGAAGGGAGGAAAGAAGCGCAGAAAGAGTAGGAAGGAGAGTTACGCCATCTACGTGAAAGACCAGGAAGGAGAGCTACGCCATCTACGTCTACAAAGTGCTGAAGCAGGTTCATCTTGGCACCGGGATCTCTTCGAAGGCGATGGGCATCATGAACTCTTTCGTCAACGACATCTTCGAGCGCATCGCCGGTGAAGCGTCTCGTCTCGCTCACTACAACAAGCGCTCCACCATCACTTCCCGAGAGATCCAGACCGCCGTGCGTCTGCTGCTGCCCGGGGAGCTGGCCAAACACGCCGTGTCTGAGGGCACCAAGGCCGTCACCAAGTACACCAGCTCCAAGTAGAGCTCCGCTCCAGCGCTCACACACAAAGGCTCTTTTAAGAGCCACCCACTTTCTCGTTTAAAGAGCTTCTAATGTGTGTAATTGATTAGACTTTGTTTTGGGACTAATTTAAACAAATTAGCCTTTTAATTTTTTTTCCCAGTTTGAGCAGGGTTTTATTTTTTTTCACATTTTGTTTTAGTGTAAGTTCCCGTTTTAGCAAGATTATGGATTTATTGTCCTCATTGGTTTTAATACAGAATAGTGATGGAAAGCTCAGCTCTTAACGGCTCCCAAATGGCTCTTTATTTAGTATCACGGGGATCCTTCCATTTTAGCCCAGTTTAGCAGTTGTGAAGGATTGTGGTTTTATTTTGAGTTTTTTTATTTTTTATTTTTTTTTTATTTGTTCAGCTTTCTTAAAAGCCTTATTTTTATGCATTTTGTTTTGTTTTTTAACGAAAAATCCTATTTGACGTTTTAATAAAACTTTAATTGAACCGAACCATACCAAACAAATAAAAGC